TATATTTTTTTATGCTCTGCTGTCACTCACCCACTCAGTCACTCAGGCTCTGGTCACCATCTAATGTGCTTTATATGGGGCTGCCCGGGAAGAGCATCCAGAAGCTGCATCTTGTGCAGAATGTAGGAGGAAAGGCACTTATTAAAATGTATATAGCCGCTTACTCGCTCACAGTGACTCTTGGGGGCTTACAAGCAATACAGCACAGCATAAAAAAATATAAAAATAGAAAGCAATAAACAACAATGACCCATCCCCCACCCACCCGGAGACAACGCACTGTTAAATAAGCATGTAAGGTTCCAGCAGTTTCCCCGAGCCACTGAAATGCCAAAGAGAGTGAGACTCGAGACGAGGCTTGCAAAAAATATCAGCTTTTATTTATGGCCATAGCAAAAGCTGGGTGACAAAACCATATCCAAAACATACAAACAAAAACCTGTAAGGATTAGCCACACCCTAGAAGAGTGGCTCAGAGTATTATATACATTTTAGGCAGATAGAAACAAAGTTAATCCAATCAGAGACAAAGATTTGTTACCAACGTGGTCTTTAAAGCATTCTTTGGTTCAAGCTCCTGTCTCTATCTTATCTGTGGAGTATTCCTATAGCCTTGTGTAGGGGGTACCTGGCCCCCCTTCGCCAAGTTGTTTTTCCGGCAGGATGCTTTAAGGGTTTATGAGCTAGGAAAACTCCCTAGTTTGGTTTCTTTATCTATACAGTTTGATATTCCTGTGTAACAATTCTACTAGTTTGATTTCTTTATTACTAGGTTGATCTGATTCAATGTCCCAATATATATGAAGTTTATATGGGAGCCATCACCATTACAGTCTCTCACTATTCCCCAAAGGTGTGTATCAGTTTACAACAATAATAACATTCAGTGAGACAGTTACAATCACAAAATCAACACAATCCGTAGAATGCAAAGTTGCACAGCGTCTTTTAGGATCTTCAGGTGGAATAGTAGAGGCCACCACTCAGGCCGGAAAGACCAAAAGTTGCTACTCCTGCAACGAGAAAAAAAAATCACAAACAAAATCTCTGCATACCACCATGACTACATCAGTTGTTGGAAATGCTTATTCTGAGGGAAGATAAAGAACAGGAGAGGCCAAGTATACAGTTCTTTACAGACAATATTTTTAGTCTCATATTGCGGAAATTCCCCCATTCTGTCCAAGTGTAGAAATTTAAACATTATTTCAGAATGCAGACGATGTTGCATTCCACGGAACTTTCCCACTGCCTCTATGATCGATTGAAGCACTTTTGCAGTAAAATGAGTAAATTTCACATATTTGTTACAATTCACAGCATCCAGAAATTTCCAAAAAGAAATCNAGTGTGCCGCGGCACAGTGGTTGAAAAACACTGGATTATAGAATCCCAATCCAGCGTCTACATTTATGAGTTAAGCATTAAAGTCTTAGCAGAAAGACAAATAAGGGTTATGAATGGTAACAAATAACTACAGAGAAGTATATAGTTTCTTACTCAAAGCCAGAAAAATTGCTAACTTCATAATTTGCTAATGAATATAATATTTTTACTTTTTAATGAGAAGTGATCTAGCACTTTTAGGGCTAATTGTTCTGGAAAAGACTGCCCTGTGTTTCCTTTCTACTATAAAGTAAACATTGCTTACCAGCAGCAGAGAAGAGACTAAGTGATTTATTCTTATACTACCTTCCTAGATTATTTGCCACATATACTGACTAGCTTAATAGTTAAACATATTCTTAATCAAGACATAGTTTCTGAGTGCTGTATTAATAGCTTGACAATACAATGCCTGGATTTGCAAGTTCTAATAAAGCACAATTCCCAGTTTAGCATTTGATGGATTATAAAACCATTATGTGCTGAGTTACAGAAGACATTTCATTCCCCATGGTTGCTCACATTAGCAAACCAGAAATCTGTAAATTTAGAATTTTCATGTATTCATGTAGCCGCTTTATTTAACTTGCATGAAAAATGGAATAAAGTATAAAAATAAAATAAAAAGAACAGGGCACAAAAAGAGAGACAGTTGTGTACCTAGAATTGGTCATGCTTAGAACAGAAATAATTAAATCTGTTAGTCGTCACTAATTTGATCCACTATAATTGGTGGATTTATTCTCAAATTGGAAGCATCTGGATCCAAATTACAGTTGGAAAGCTTCCATTGGAAACAAAACTAGCTTGTTTCTCATAGGTTAAAGGAGAATGGGGTTTTTTAAAAATCTGTCCTTACTTTACACACTTACATCAAAATATAATATACAAATGAAAATGAAAACAATGGAGAAGTGGGGGAGAGAGAAATGTAGGATAAAGGAGAAAAAAGCATTAGCTTCTGACTCTTTTTAGTGCAATAGAATAATAACATGACAGTCTCAACGTTTACTTTTGCATAATTAATAGCCATTTCTATATCAGCAAAACCGAAAGCGAAGTTTTATTTTTTTATTTTATTTTATTTCAAGCACAAATCCTTTTGGATTGCTAAAAAAGTTTCAGTCATAGAGATAATCTGATGGAAAAGTTCAGAAAGCAGTTACTGTATCTTTCAAAGTATAAGACACACAAGTATAAGACGCACCAAGGTTTTGAAGAGGCAAAATTTTTTAAAAAGTAGGTAGGGAGATAGAGGGAGAGAAAGAGAGAGAAATACAGTAGGTAGGTAGGGAGAGAGAGAGTAGTTAGGTGGGTAGATAAAGGGATAGAGAGAGGGTAGGTAAGTAGAGGGATAGAGAGAAATACAGTAGGTAGGTAGGGGGGGAGAGAGTGTGGGTAGGTAGGTAGGTAGGTAGGTAGGTAGGTAGGTAGGTAGAGGGATAGAGAGAGAGAGAGAAATACAGTAGGTAGGTAAGTGTTTCTGCTGGCACAGCACTTGATCAATGTAATTCTCATCAATTGGTTAAAGAGCTTTCCAAAAGGAAAAAAAAAGTTTTTGCCCTCTGCAAACCTCCCCAAAACAGCCCGTTTTCATGAAAACGGGCCTCCTTTTTTTCCTTAAAAAAGCATAAATAGCCTGGGGGGGGGGCTTGCAGAGTGCTCCTGGGGGGGGGCAAAAATGAGCAAAAAATGGCCCATTTTTTTGTCAAAAAATTACATGCATAGCCTTATGGAGGCTTATAGAGTGCTTCTGGGAGTTTGGGGGGCAAAAAACTGCCCGTTTTTTGCTCATTTCTGCCCTCCCCACCCCCCCAGGAGCTCACTGGAAGCCTCCATAAGGCTATGAACGGCCATTTTGGTGAAGAGGCAAAAAATGCTGTATTCTGTGTATAGGACACGCCCTGATTTTCAGCCTGTTTTTGAGGGAAAAGGGTGCATCTTATATTTTGAAAAATACAGTATATTGTTTTTTGTGATCAATAAAGACTTAACATTGCTCTTTTCTAATTTTCCAGGCCAATGTCTGCAAATTTCAGAAGCCCCTGTAATTGGAATGGCACTGTGAAACAGTATCCCCACCCCAGCCTTTGTTTTTATTATTAATATTGCTCATGTGTTTGTTTTTAATTTAACTAATAAAGGCATTTAGCTATATTGGGTGCTTAAATCTCAGAACAATATTTTTAATGATTACATTGCTCATCCTTGGCCTTTCGCTAAACCATCCAGCCTTCACAACTATCAAGGCATTATAAGGTTACAGCAGTTACCCTGAGCCACTGAGATGCCAAAGAGAGTGAGACTCGAGACGAGGCTTGCAAAAAATATCAGCTTTTATTTATGGCCATAGCAAAAGCTGGGTGACAAA